AGAATGATATATATTATATAATATAATGTAAAAACTAAATCAAAGATGTCGCCACTATTATCGAAATTGGAATTAAAAAAGTCTGTACTATCGACCTTGATTGAGTTGGGTAATCGGTTTAGCATCCCCTTAATACTTACGCCTATCAGATTGATTGATGTCGATAATTCAATCGTCTTAACGCCGGCTTGATAATAATTTGTTATTATGGAAGTTGTATCTAATTTGTTGATATTTTTAATCTTGTAATAGCTTATGCCCAAAGGTATCTGAGTGCCTCTAAGCTGTTCTATTGTATTTGGATGTATGGGGCTACAATTAATCGTTTTAATAAATTGTTGTACGATCTTGATCGCAGCAGGCGGAGTCATATTTCCTTGCACGAGACATTGAATGTATAGAGATTTAGTAAAGGATTTCACAAAGTCTTGAAAATCTTTTAAAGTGATATCCTGTAGAGTAGTATGCATATCAATGTATGAATGATGGACGAGTTTCAGTATCGATAATATCATGTCGCTGCAAACAAGAGTAAAGATATTATTGATTAGCAGAAAAGTAACAAGATATAATTTATTTTAAAATATCAATCATTATAATTAATATGTATTGTTAATCAGTTATTTTATTTATGTGAGAATTTTGTAATTGTGATATTGTTTGATATAATAAACAGTCAGTAGTCAGTACCTGATGAAAACATTAGGTTTCATAATTGTGTTTGTATACATTACACTTTGTTGACTTTTGATATCTTCAAATATGTCCTTTGTAATTGAATATTGCACCATGCCTTGTGCAAAAATAGTCGCTAACTGCTGCAATATAAATATAATTATATATCTTGAAGTTGTATTTATAACTCCAAAACACACTTTGAATATATACTTACTGGCAGAGTTTCATTAGGACCGCTTATTCTTAATGTATAACCATTCTCAGTGACATCGATATGATATTCAAACCCAGCCAGTAATGCTGGATATAATTCTTTGGAGGATAGCTGTAGTATGCAGTACATATCCATGAGAACTCCACTGAAATGTCATAACTGTTCATGTCTTTACAATAAGATGTAAATAATTATATAAGAATCATAATATTGGTAATTATAAGTTAAAAATTGGTATACGTATAATGTCAAGTACAGTAGTAGCTATTATAATATATTATTGTTACATTTCCTATGCTACTTACTTCTTCAACGACTGAAGTTTTAGAGGTGAAATAAAATGAAAATGCATACAACATTTCGGCAAATGAAACTTAGGATCGTAGCGATACCAAATCTCCGACACAGGATTACAATATAATTTTATAGGATATTTCTCAGTTTGTTCTTTTAGTATCTGTATTAGACAAGGATTCTTGGTAAGGAGTATATTCGGTAACGGTAAAAAAAGTTCTGGTAATGGCTCGATGACTTTCCAACGTTCGATCCATTCTTTCGGAATCTCAATATCCGTATATGCTGTTTGCCAACATGGTTGAACTTTCGTTAATTCGGAATCATTAAAATCTTTGGAGTAAATCATAACATTTGCCATCTCAGGGGCCAAATAATTCAAACATTTTTGTATAACTTCTGCATTATAATTTGAATTAAGCTTGTCTCCTGTTAAATAAGCCTTCGGCGGATAGAAATGCATATTCTTAGATAATTGTTTTACAGTAGAGATTGGTTCTTCGTCGTAATTAGCAAATCTAAAAAAACTTTCAAGAATAAGTGATGTTCCACAAATATGTTGTTATTCTTTCTCTTCAATCATCTTAAATACATATATATGTTTCTAAAATTACTTTACCTAAAAATGTTTTTTTCACTCTCATAAATGTCATTGTAAATTGCTTTCTGCGGACCCTCTTTCTTTAGTAAATTGATAAAAGAAAATATTGCACCTAGAATATCTTCCAGATGTCTTCGCCCTTCAGTAGTGAGAAATATGTTGATGTATATTAAGCTGTACAATGAGTTTTGTTGACTCGAACAATAAATCACATTATTGTTTAATATAGGGCTCCACATCTTTTGATGTAGATAACTAGTTAAGGAACCTTTTCCTTTATATTCAAAAAGACACGGGATATATTGATGCGAATTACATTTATAAAAATCGGAGAACGAAGGTAAGGCCCACGTTATTATTAGCTGCAAAAGAGAAATTTTTTGTATATTTATTTGTATTTTTATGTTGTATAAAACTAGATTCTTTTCCATCTGCTCAAATTTTAGTCACATACTCGTGTCAAAAGTGCGACATCATTCTTAACTTTATACATTTTTCGGAAAGCGGGAGTATCAAAAGGGAGATCGTTTTTAAATTTGGAAAATTTATTTCGAGGTTTCCCGTTATTTGGCACATTATCAAAGGACGCTTCAACAAATTTTTCCATTACATCCAACGGTAGTCCCGACTATAAAAAGATGTATCATGTTATGATTTAACTTTATTTTATAAACAAAAGAACCATGAACTTTATAAGTAATGAATTATTCTAGCGTCGCAATTTTAACGAAGTTACCCGTATTGCTATCTTCATTCTGTGAGCGCTGTAGTGGCGCTCTTTAAATTTGTGCAACACATCGTACAGTTTGTCATAATCTATATTATTACGCAATTTTATTAAATGATCCTCAGAGAACTTGTTAGCTGGATGACCAGTTCGTGCTGAGGAGAAAAATAGTTGTTCGTATCTTGTCCTGCCATTATATAAGTTTTTCTGAAACTCTATATAAGCATAGCATGTCAAGACTGCAAGTTGCGAGAACAGTGTTTAAGATTACGATTTATAATACCGTTTTTAATTTCATCTAGTTGTTCCATAAATTTATGCTTCGGTATTATAGGCTCAATAAAAAAAAGACCAAAACTGCGGAGAGATAAAAACAACTTGTTTTCTTTGATATTAAAGTAAAACGTTGTATGCTCGGAGTCTACTGAAACACGATAAGTGCCACCTTGGCTATAAATATAATCTCCGAAATTATATAGCTGCAAATACATAAAAGTACGAATAAATAAATTTTCCGGTAAATTTATGTATCATCTTTTAGTACCTCTAAACGTTTATCGAATTCTCGAAAAAGCATATACTCAAAGAAATATGATATGCCTGGAAATTCTGGTGGATCGCTGAAACTTCCTACGTCCACGCATAAGCTACACGCTGCCTGTTTAATAAAATATAAGAGCATACACATCACGCGCACTACACTCAGTATTAAATGGAGTGTTGAATATAATCCACAGAATAATTGAACAGTTTGAAATTGTATCTCACATTTCGAAATAAATTTATGGAAACTTTTCTGCAATGCAGGAGATTAAATTTTTCGAATCAAAACTTCTGATAATTGATAAACACTGCTTAAATCTTGTGAAAATAAATATTTCTTTTGATTTTAAAGCTTATTGTTAATGTTAATTTTAAATACAAATTTTAAATAACAAGTTAACTAAAAAAATTAGTCAGCCATAAAATTGCGAATTAAATTGCTTTTTTTATACCTTCTTATCTTGAGAAGAGGATGTTGATAAATTTTTCTCGGATATTAGCAAAGCTTCTAAACCGTTTGGCAATCTGATGGCTCTAAATTTTAAAGATAAAATGAACAATAGTTATAGAATGACAAATTAGTAAGAATATTTTATACTTTGTCGATCATTTAAAAAATCTAAATGTATTGTAAGATTTCTTTCAAAAGATTACTATCATATTATTTCTCACGTTTAATGCAATCGAAATCGTGCTTACTGCTGAGTATTTGCTCGCGTTTTACCTATATTCCTTCTTGTCGTTCTCCGATATGTCGGGCTGGTCCAAACGTTCAACTTGGATCTTTGCACGATCCCAACTCTTCACAATTGGCATTATGGCAACGTGCAGAAAATTAGAATCGAAATTATGTCGATTTGTGAAATATGATTTGATCCGGAAAAGTCCAATGGTTTTAAGTTCTTTTCAACTTCCTTTTCAATAGACCTGACATTATTTCGATCAGCACATTAACTGAAAGATCTTCTTTCTTTGCACATATTCTCGAATAAAGGTCAGTACGGCTGATGTCTAATGTATATTATACGTAGAGGTTTTAGATGTTTATTTATTTGTATAGTAATCTAGAGGGCTGGTATTCATAGTCCGTTTGAGTTTAGAACTTAAGTCTTAAATTGTTATTTAAGTCTTATATTGTCATAACACATTCTTATAGCATTTAAAAATATTGCTAATTATTAGCATTTACCAGATAGCAAATTATATTCTGAGAATGTTCTCAGAATATAATATGCTATCTGGGTTACAGCCTTATTAGCATTTTTAAATATTGCTACTTAAAATAAGAATTACTAAGGCCCAGTTTCGCAACTGACGGTTAACTCTTAACCGAAGTTCAACTTATTCATTATCTCTTTTCAATTCTAGAATTGGAAAAAGTTGACAAATAAGTTGAACCTCGGTTAAGAGTTAACTGTGAGTTGTGAAACTGGGCCTAATTGAAATAAGAAACTGGCTGTGAATATCGATTAATCTTATTATTGTTTACTTTCCAATCAGCAGACAATGTTTTTAAAAATAATTGGTTACATCCCTCTCTTTTGATTAAAAAAACCTTTATTGTAATGTTTGAATAAACATTTTTTTAACGTTTAAGAAACGTTTGAAAAAACATTTCTGTAACGTTAAAAATATGTTTTTTAATGTTAAAATTATTTAAACAAAATTAGAAAAAATAACAATCTAGAATCTTTTTTTTAATTTATTTTTTTATCGAAAATGCCTAAAAATCTTAAATGATTAATTTTATTAATTAATTTCTGATTTTTAATTATATTTTAATTTTTTTCACTTAACCGGCCGGGTTTTGTAACTTGGGACCTCAGGGTTATGAGTCTAATACCTTATCCGTCACGCCACTTATAACTATAATATATTATCAACTATATTAGTATAAAAATTTATGAGCGTTAATATAAATTACATAAATGTATATTTTTGTTAAATTAATAATTTTTGTATCGAAGACGGTTATACTAAAGAGAAGCAATTCAACTAATTAATATAAAACAATTATATGTCAATGTTTAAAGTGTTAATATATAAATGTTCTTTTATATATAAATATTTACTAATGTTATTTTATATTTTATGTTTTTTCTTATAACTTCCGGAATAATAACGGATCTTTTCTTTTTCATGATTGCGATTTAGTAGCTATTACCAGATCCAGGTAATGTCCACGATTTTGTGGTTCTGTTCCGTACTATTAGGTGAGTTCGACAGAGACTTTGATTGCTCGTCTTCGTCTAACCCATGTAATAAGTACAGAACAGAACCACAAAATCGTAGATATTACCTACGGGATATGGTAAAAGCTAAATCATGATCATGAACGCTCTCAGGCTTCTCTCTGGACACAATATATAGCTCGAATCAATCGTTGAGTGGCGACGCCGATCGATCTCGCGTTCGCGTGCAGTGCATCGGATCAGATATTACCAGCGCCGGTCGCCCAGTTCCATCCAAGTCCGGTCGATCCACATTGGCCGACCTACGTCTCGACTGGTCTCAGTCACGTACCCGCTGATCGGCCGCGTCTCGCAGCGTCGTCTTATCGAGTTTGTGCGGTTTATCACGCACACCTCCACTTGTCCTCTCTCCCTTGTCCCTCCTCTCCTACCACTAGTTTCTCTCTCGCTCCGATCCACTCCTCGCTTTTCGCGGACGCTTTTCTGGATTCCCGCGGGTAGGGCGCGGACGCACACGAGCGCGAGCGCATACGGGTGCAAGCAAGTAGCAAGGCAAGGCGGTAAGGGCAGGGCGCGCGCCGAGGACAACGGAGCGGTGAGGCGACCAGCCAGATAAAGCGCGAGCGAGAGCCTACGAAGCTGAGTGGCGGCGCGCGCGTGCGACGTCGTGTCGTGGCGCGCGAGAGGGCTGTGCTGAGGCGACGCGCGAGAATAGCCGACTAAGCCGACGCGGAGTAGCGTGACTCGAGAGCTCCGGAGTATATACTACATGCGGCATGGAGACCCTCGAATCGAGCCGCGTTTGCCGCCTCTGCGGCCAGCACTCGGGCATCTCGATCAACATCTTCGACGAGACCGAGAATCACGTTCGGAAAATCAACGCTGTGCTGCCGATCATGGTACGTCATTATACGCTTTCTCTCTCTCTCTCTCACTCTCTCTCTCTCTCTTGTTCTCGTTCTCTCGCTCTTTCATTTTTCCTCTCTCCCTCGTGCTCTTTCCCGTTTAAGCGCGAGCCTCACACACACACACATTTGCTCCTTCCTTCGCGCCCTGACTCCTTCTCCTTTTTCCCTGTTTCTTTCTCTAGCGCTTGATCCCCTTTTACGACTTCCTTCTCCAATCGGAGGGTACGCGCCCGCGTGCCCTGCTCCTATATGCACTCTCATCGTCCTTGCATAGCGCCAAGCACACCCTTCTACCTCCCTTCTATTTGCCACCTTGTTACGAAACGCGTGATCCGTTCTCTCTATCAGCCGCGCTCTACGTGACTTTACGCGCGCTTTTTTCCGATCCTCCCCCTTCGCCTTTCCCCTTTTCGACGCTCCAATTCTTGTCCGTAACACCTGTTTCTGCAACGAAAAGAAAAGAACTTCCGCGTCCGCATGTCGCGTTGGCAAAGGAGAATAGAATACCGCTATTTTCGCGGAGGTGAGCGAAGGGTCGGACGGGGGTACCTTTTGTGCGGGCGGAGCACACGTCGACCACGTGCGAGAGACATCGCGGTCCAGCGGGGTTCGCCACGAATTCTCAATCTCTTTTCTTTTTTTTTTTTTGTAAAATCATCTATTTGCAAAAAGTGAGGTTATCGCCGATTTTGCGCGCGAAATGAATGTACTCCAAAATGTCGAGAGCGCGGATTACATTGCATAATTCAAAGCGCGAGAGAGGGAGAGGCTTGAAATGGGTTTCATAAGTTCCTCGCGACGTTCATCGCGATGTTTTTTTTTTTTGGCACAGATTTTCGCATCGATAATCTTTTGGATTTTTTTTATGTTTAGATGAATTTGAAAATTTCTTGTTTTTACAGCACTCTTTTATTTTTCTACTTTTTAAACGTGGATTCGGTTTTTTCTCTTCTTTTGTGCGATAGAAGTGAAAATATAAAAATCATAGAATTTTTGAAATACGCGTAATTAATGCATTTATCGTATTAATCTCTTGCAGAAATTTAATTCAGGAAGGTGATTGTAATTACTTAAATATTGAATAACGTTTTAAATACTCAATAAAGTTTTAATGCTCTAAATAAGTAATTAATCGCTACTTTTTAGTATTAAATCGGATGTCTGTAAGAAATATATATATGTATAAATATAAAGGAATATGTTGTCAGCGAATCTTTCGATAGATGTTTAGATCATTTTAACATTTTTTTTAATTAATCCAAGAGAAGAACTTTTTCTGGGAATTGTTAAGTGACTTAATAATTTTGGAGTAAATTATACATTAATTGTAATAAATGTGTGAAAGTATAATAAGAATAATAAGAACAATAATAATTGATAATAATCTGTAGTAGTACAATAAATGTGAAGATGTATATAAAAGAATATTTGTCCCATGGATAAAATCATAAGAAATAACAGTTTTTACAACCTAACAAATTATTAGTACATCATTTTTGAGACTCGTCTTTATTTAAACTCGAAATCAGTAAATCAATTTATTTTCAGTTTAAGTAACATTAAATTTAAATAATATTATTTCCTATATTATTCGAAAGACGATCTTGAGATATGATATCTTCCAACAATCAGTTTATTAACATATATGATGCTATTATATACGTACATGATAAAAAGGGATAAATATTTCGAAACCTCGATAGGAAAATGGATTTTAATATTGTCGTTTCGCTGAAATCCGCCGCATCTTATGCTTTATATTTATAGTATTGTTATATTTTTTAATATTTAAAATGTTGTAAATTGAAAAGCAGAATAGATTCTAGAAATCTGTTCTCCTATTAATCGTAAACTTTTCTAATTAAATTTGTGACTTGTTCCTAGTTATACGAAACTATTCTGAAGCAATTAGCAAGGGTAATCGGTGGTTGCGATAATGTTAATGAATGGAAGTTTCCTTGTGTGGCATGTCACTCGTCATACGCACATCTACCTCGGGCAATGACGCACACTCGTTTATTTCTCTTCTCTCTCCGTGCGACAATTCAATGTCGCGGCTATTCGGTATTTTGCCTCCTATCAATAATTGCGTAACAATCGAGGCGTTTAGTGTAACAACAGGTACACATGATTTTCAAGATATTAATCACTTAATCATCTTAATGTAATCGTGGGACAGAGTCTCTAAAATCAATATAAAATTCACTTGAAATCCCTATGTACAATCAGATAATTACATATATGTACAATCATCAGAAATCATTGTATAATATTAAATAAAATCGTTTATTCTACCAAATAATCTCATACTTAATGAACAAAATTATTTATAATCAAATGGAACTATACGAAATCAAATGAAATCATGTAATCCGTGGGATAATATTTCAGCTAGTGGCTACCCCCCGGTGATTTTTTCATTTCTTTACTTTTCAAGAATTTCGAAACGCGTAAGTCTCTTTAAGAATTTTACGTTAAATTCGACTTGAATTTAGATTAAAGTTCGACTAATTTCTTCATAAAAGATCGTAAAAGATCATGTTGAACGAACGTTGCACCCCTAGAAGACACAATATTTCTAGAATGTTATATGAATATTAAAAAGGGTGAATGATATTCATACAACATTCTAGGAATATTGTATACTTGTTATGAGAATCGAACAACTTTATCAGGCTGTTGATCCTCCGAGAAACTTGCAGCTCGCAGGTCCTTTTGATTCCGTGTTTTGCTATGCGTTCCTCAGGTGCACGAGATGGATTTACTGCCGAAGCAGATGTGCCACCGGTGCAGCTACAAGTTGGAGGAATTCCACAAGTTCTACGTGGACTGCCTGAAGACGGATACGGCGCTCAAAAGTCAACTGTCGTGGATGCGGAAGGGTGGCGTTAGGGAGAAAGTTGGCGTGCCGATGGTGCATATCGAGAACATGAAGGAGATCAAAGCGGAGCCGCTCGATTACGACGTGTACGAGCTGGAGCCGTTGGTGGAGAACATCGACTACATTAACTCGATGAACTCGGTGACGTTCCCGGCCGGCAGTATTCACAACGGGTTGACGTACACGACATTCTCTCGATGTTGCTGTGATAAGAAGAATCAGAACAGATCGAGAAGAACAACAGCGGAACTCTGTCAGAATTATCAAGGACAAATGAATAGATGCGGTAAAATCACGAATGTCTCGCAGAAGAGGACTTTCGAGGACGTTGCACGGTTCAAGCCGATTAAGCGAAATCTCTTTACGCAGTCAGTATTCCCAGATTGTCCGCAGAATCGTCTGCAACATGTCGAGAACACTGTCGGAAATGTACGAGATCATCTGGTCACAAATACGAGTACCAAAAATGACGTAGCCACTCCGGAAACGCGGAACCATTGTCACGGCGGACTCGGAACGCTTCCTAAGAATCAAGTAGCCAGGAGCACAATAGTGCGAAACCTAAGACCCAGGAAGAATCTGAATTACGCGCAGGATAAAAGCAAAATATCGAATGTCAATCCGAGACCATCTACATTGACCAAGTCAAATGTTTCTGAGGCGACATCCTCTCCGAACTTTGGACTGATGCGGCAGATCAAGGTTGAGTTGATAAATGAGTTCGAAGGACGCAGCTTAAGGCCGAGGAGGAATGTTGTGGATTATCAGGAGCCAAAGATGAAGAAGGTTTCGGAGTCTCGCACGAAGAAGCGCAAATTGGACGAGAAAAGCTCAAAGAACGGTAGAACGTCGAACACTCTGAATTTCAAGATAAAGCAAGAAGCTCAAGACGATTTGGAGAATACGATGCTCAGTGAAACAACCAATGCGACGCCACGATTACCAAGCAAGTTTGTCACTTTACCCGCGAAGATTCAAGCAATGACGAGTGATAATGGCATCAGTCTGCGAGATGACTATCTCAAGTCGCGATTTCGGGGTCAGTTTCAGTTGGCCGAACGAAATTCACTTTCCAACATTATGAGGAATAAGCTGGCGAAGACAAAGAGGACGTATCAGTTTCCCAGGGCACACTGTTCGCCAAAGTATCTGAGAAGTCAGGATGTTTATCTGAGGAACGGTAAATCAAAGAACACGGAGTGGTCAGTGAAGAAACTGCAGACGAGAAAGTTGATAAACACGATCAAGAAGAACGCAAAAAAATCACCGATGTTGAAGTTATCCGAAAATATCAAGCATTATTGCGAATCGTGCAACGTCAAATTTATAAACAAAGAATTATTCAGACTGCATGCGTGTTACTACGATTGATCTTTCGCGACAAGCACGAAATTAACGAGCTGTCTGAGAATCGTTCGAAGAATTAAGATGCCTTCTGGATATCTCTGCTAACGGTTAAAAAAGATTAGGACACTTCGCGATGAAGTGTAAAAGATGCATAAATAATTAGAAGAAATCTTCACGATTGTATGATGTATGTATCTTTCATGTACGTATATTTCAATTTGTTTCTAATTTTTTTTTTGTATATTTCGCTCATATACAATGGAAAAGGCTTTTCTAAATTTGAACACCTAAGAATAACGAGTCGATAATTCATAAAACGTGCCTATCCCTAAAAAATTTGACCAAGTTTTTTGCAATATTGACACTAGTTATCTGATTATTGACTCTCTTTTTTTTTCTTGATGAGATAGATTGTCTGTTAAAATTATTAAATGCAAGAGTAAATACAGAAAATTCTGTATGTATATAATATACTTTATTTAGTATTACACATTGTATCTTTACGGTATCATTTATTGCGTAAGCGATATGGATATATAATGTGTATTATATATTATGTATTATATATTATATATATATATACACGTACATTATATATATTATTATATATATCTGTATGTACACTTAGATCTTCTTTATTGACTTAAGTAATTATAACAATTGTTACGCTTAAGACTTTAAGTAGAAATTCACAAGTCGCCTTCAAAGAAACAATTGTACGAATATAGAGATAGAGTAGAGATATATTTTATGAGAGACAAGAGAGGTATATATACTAGCTATATGTCGATATTCTCGATGAATTCATGTGATATATGTATGAAAATAATGACCGATCTTCTGAAGAACTCCATATTATGTAAGTCAACGGATGTAATAATCGAAAATTCATCTTTCTACCGTTACATCGGAATTTTATATATTAATATTTATAATCTCCTACTTATCTACATGTTTTGACGATTGTTCCAAATTACATTACGCAAAAAGACTTATAGACATATATGTTTACTATACTGGCGGTACACATTCAAATAATTTGTATCCGATTTGTATATTAATCTGTATTGGACATACGCAGTGAACATAACGGATTTATTAAATAATTAATTGCAACTCTATTTTTCTAGCGTTGTTATCACTGTCATCATTGACGATTAAATTGAATAATATGTTATATTAAATCTTATTCATCACGGTTATCGATATTAAGGCCCAGTTTCACAACTGACGGTTAACTCTTAACCGAGGTTCAACTTATTCATTATCTCTTTTCAATTCTAGAATTGGAAAAAAATGAGAAATAAGTTGAACCTCGGTTAAGAGTTAACTGTGAATTATGAAACTGGGCCTTACTGCATAAGTTTATGCAGTTCTTTATTGTTGCAAAGTGTTTCTCCGAATTATCTATCCGTCGATACACAAATAAAGAAATAGTTACTGTTAATGGGTAGATACATCTTTCTCATATCATTTAACAGATTAATAAATGTTATATATAATTATGTATATGTATATACATGTAAATTATGCAATTATGAGATTACCATCCTATTTCCGTCGTTTTTCTCTTCTTAAAAACTCTACATGTAATATAATATATATAATATTAAATAATAGAAACAGTGTCATATAAAATGGACTCGGCAAATTAAACAGTAATAAAATATTTAAAAAAAACTCTAATTTCTAATTTTCTAATTACGTCTCGTAACAATTGCGACTTTATAATTTTTACTCTCTAACGAAATAAAATATTTTATAATATGACATGATATATAATCCTTTTTTTTAAATATCGGTAGTATGTAAAAGGGAATCCCCCCTCCTTCCATCGTTTTGTCCGTCGCTGTGCGATCGCAGCGTTGTGGCAACCGAACGAATTACAGGTAACAAACAAACAAAAAGTATGGCAGGTGTCAAGTTCGTGAAGAATGACCGGTTCTACACGGCGGATTGACTTGATCTAATTACGGCCGAGGGAAGGCGAGATGTCTTCAGACGCTAGGAAACCGCCGCGAATCGAAGACGTGAGTTTCGCACGCTGTTATTCACCCGCGATTCGCGCGCTTAACCTAAACTCGTCTCCGAATTGTTGACCCTTCTATAAGATTTTCAAACGTATAACTTATTCTTTTGCTAAATGAAACAAATGAGAGTTTTGTATATCGAATCTGCTTCTTTTAGTTAATTTCTACGGAGGATGACACTTTGGGATCCTCTATAAGTCTAAGCGTCGGAGAAAACTCAGTTCGCATTAAAGAGAAACCTAAAACTACCAAAGAAGTCGAACAATTGTCGATTGATAAAAAAGAAGGGCCGGATAAGTGGTGGTTGAAGAGACCTGAGACACGTTTAGGTGTTCTGAGTGCTAAGAATGCAGATGCAAAGTCAAAGCAGTCTCCTACTCCTTTGTCGGATGCCAGCTCCTCTATGAAAGAGTTTCTCGAGAAAGAGAGGATGTGCAAGGTAATTGTTCAAAACACAAGTAATATTGATGCTACAACAAAACATTTCCTTTATTAAGAGCGATATTTTTAATTGTGTTTGTTCTCTATCATGTGTGTTGGTTCAAATAATTTTTGTTAACTTTATTTAATTTTTTAGACAATATCCAAAAGCGAAGGAGAAGTGAAAGACAAGGATGACACATTATGCGACATACTCGCATCTGCGGCTTTTGATAAATATCCATCAGATTTTGAAAGTAAGTTTTTCTATAAAGCCAGAGCTTTCTAAATTAATGTTGTGTTTGATTAATTTGTTTTGTCTCACACATATAGATGCCACTGACGAAGATATCGGTAGTTTATTGGAGGAAATGAGCAAGATTGCGGGGGCATTAAGTCCAAATTCGTGTCCTGAACGTACAAAGTCTGGCGGTTCTAATAAGAATCTCACGGAAGAAAAGTCTGTAGAAGAATTATTAGAAGAAGCTGAGGAGCTAGTCAGAAAAAATTGTAATACTCTGTCAAAAAGTATATCGAAATCTGATACTCTAGTGCCAGAAAATCAAGATGAAAGTTTAAGCAGAGTGAGACAATTAGAAGCTGACATTTTTCAATTAATAGAGGAAGAAGTGCATAAAGAATCGGAAAAAATAAAAAGGAGTCCAAAAAACGAGAGAAAACGGGAGAATAGTCCCGGATTCGAGATTGTTTATGAAAGTCTGAATAATTTGAAGCCACCGAAAACGCTGGAACTTCAAAGAAAAAAGTTCGAGGAACAGAAAGTCGAAATATCAAGCAGTTCCGATTTGGACGACCCAATTGAGAGGCATTCCAAGTCCGAGGAACTGAAGAGCGCGAAGAAAATTGAAATGGAGAAGGAGAATCTGCAGAAAGAGATCACGGACGTGGATAAGGATTTTTTCGAGGATTTGTTGAGAAGATCAAAGGAGAAGGCAGAGGGCAGAATGTCCGCCAGTTCCAGTTTCGGACAGGAAGATTTCTCGCATTTCTTGAAACTGCTTCAAGGACAAAATACAGACAAAGAGCTAGAATCAAAAGAGCCTAATGCGATGTACGATCTCTTTTTAAAATCTACTAATGGTGAAGTAGTATCGACTAAGGAAAATCATTTAGCTAGTGGCAAGACCCCAGAATTCCCAGAAAAAGAATTTTCTGAAATATTAGAAAAGGAATTACCGATCATTAATGGTGTAAACATGGATCATGAAATTAATGAGAGCGATTCTAGTGTGAGCGAAGAACGGCATAAAGGGACACGGAATCCTTTGTCAAGTGGGAAAACATTCTTAAAGCAGTCTAACAATGAATCCAAGAAGACTGCATCGGAAATTATAGAGAAAGAAGGCAATAAAAATGCAACAGAAACCAGTAAAAAGACAATTAATTCTGAAAATGAGTTATTTACAGTAGGATTGACGCCGAGATTGGAATTATTTGCGGATGCAATACCCAAACTTATGGCTGAAAAGATGAGTGAAAGTATCGTGAAGGAGAACACAGAGATAGCAGAGAAAGCAGATTTGGCGAACAAAGAATCTGCTTGTTCAGAAACGAAGGTTGATACGAAAGGGGAAGATTCAGCCGTCAACGTATCGAAGACTTCGAAGATGCATTATCAAGAAGTACCTGATCATAGCGTTTCGAGTAAAGCAATAGATGTACCTAAAACCGACCGCGTTGTTAGTGCACCAAGCAATAAGCAATCGAAAAAAGAGATAAGATTTTGCAAGTCTAAAAGCTACGATCTCTTATGCCAGCCTCCCTTAAAATCATCCTTCGAAAATATCAGGGTTAACAAAGCATTGGATGTGTCTAAGAAACCTGTAAACGCAGTTTCCAGAAAGTCATCGGCAAAGCCGAAAGTGCAATCCCGATCAATTCCCAAAGTCGCACCGAAACCTAACTCATCCTCAAGATCAAAACTGGGTTCCGTTAAAGTTGGATCTACACCCAGTTTACCAGCTGCGTGCAAAGGATCCCAAATAAAATCGCCCGATAGTTACAGAAAAAATTTTATGGCCGCCGGAGATTCGAAACAGATTCCAATAAAACGTGATTGGGAGATGTTGTGTCGTGAGGAGAGACACAAGAACGCACTGTTGAAACAACAGTTGGAGACCGAGGCAAAGCTGTACAAGAGTCAAATTGAGGATATGCGTTCGTCTTTTGAAGGAGAATTGTTTGCTTTAAAGAAACAGAATATAATCTTGAAGGCAAGAGTTGACGAGCTCTCTCTGAGCGAAAGACGCGCAGAAATTCCTATCAAGAACGACATGAAGATTACTCTTCTAGAACAGGAACTGGAAAAGCAGGAAAGCCTGATCCGCGCTTATGAAACCGAGAACAAGAAACTGATGCTAGATACGAAACGTATGCAAGAGGAATTGAAAAATTTGCAGTCTAAGCAGAAGAGTACGGTATCGAAAACAAACGATACGCAACAGTTTGCTGATCGGGTGAAGGATCTCCAGGAGGAGACGTTGAAGTTGAACTTCGAGGTATCCGAGCTGAAGGAAAAGAATGCCGATTTCTTGCTAAAGAACGACGATCTAATTCAACAGAACAGTTTGCTCACGGACGAATTGGACATGTTTAAGGAGCAGCTGAAAGTGAAAAATAACTTTATTACGGATCGGTTGCAAGTGATGACTACCACAGAGTTAGAACTTAAAAAACAAATAGAGGATCTAACTATCAAATTGAGTTCTAAGTCGGAGCAGTTGCGTGTGACTAAACAGGAGCTAGAGAGGTTTCAGCAGGACGTACTGCCCTTGGAGAAGGAACTGCTGGACCTCAGAGTTAGAGAAGAGAATATTCACGAGAAATTACGGATAAGCAAAAGTCATGTCGAGCGTGAGAAGCAGCTGACTCAGAGACTCAAGGATCAGGTTATTCTGGACAACAAGAAAGTCATGGACCTGAACAGACAAGTACGCGAGTTGGAGCGTATACTCAAGAGAAAGAATCCTGACTCGGTTTCGGCTCTCATACTGACCGCCAACTCGGAGCAGGAGAAGATCGGTTCCGAGAAGATAAAGCTTCTGGAGCAGAGAATAGCAAGTCTCGAAAACGAGATTAAAAACAAAGAGGATATCGCGCAGCAAAATCTTGTGGACTTGCAGAAAAAGTTCTCCGATATGAAGGAGAAATATGCAGTACAGGTGATGGAGTTAAAGGCGAAACTGTTGGAAGCAACCGTGAAAGAACACAAGTTGTACAATGACATGTTCACGCAAACGACGGTGAAGTACGTCGAGAGCAAGAGCATAGAGAATAACAAGAAAGACGACAAAGCTTCCACCATGGAAGATAAGAAGGATCAGAAAACGATAAAGGCTGGACCGAAATCTCAAAATCCTAAGGAAGACGCGCATCTCATTGCCACTATAAGAGGCCTGAAATTGGAGATTGCGAACAAAGACAAAACGGTCTCGAAGATAACCAAGGAATATCAGGAGCTTCAGAAGACGAATCGAAGATTGCAGAAGGAGCGGGAGAAATTGCTGAACGATCGTAGGAGCTTCAGGAGTATGGATTTCGATAAAGCGTTCCGAGGAATGAAGAATGGCGAAGGAAATGATCAGAATTCGAATGTTTATCAGAACGGGCACGTTTCTGAGAGGTTGTCGTCATCGACACCAAAGTTGTACGATCCAGTGCAGTACACGGAGAACGGCAAGAACGGGGTTATCAAGAAATTGACAAACGAAAATGATATTCTGAAGGAGGAACTGAGCAAAATGAACAAGGACTTCATGACGCTGAAGACCAAGAGGCTGCATGATTTGAATCTCTTGCAGGAGGAACATGAGCGAGAGATGGCCACTCTTGTGAAAGAGTACAGCGTTAAGATCGGTGATTCTAAAGCGGTAAAGTTGCAGGTTTGTAACGCTTGGCGAGCACTTGGCCTGTTCCTTATTTTATTTATTGCACCAGGAAACCTAGTAGTTTTTAATAATATATCTCTACTTCGCTTATTTGAGTAGAACAAGCCTCTGCTTCGCTTATCAACATATATCTATCATGGCTAGGAATTTTTACTATTATACCATTTTTATTATTAATAGAGTCAGATTAATACTCAGGGAGCAATTATATCGAACTTAAAAGAACAAGTTGAAAAGTTCAGAGACTACAAGGAGCAGGTGATTATGTTGAAGGCTGAAAGAGAGCACTTGGAGAATAAAGTGAAGACACTGACCGAGAAAGTCAAATACTTATCAACGCCGGTATGTGAAAAACAGTCGATTAAGACGATTTCTTTAAGATGGCCACGACAGATGATATTTCTGTTTCAGGGAACAGAACAGTTGCAGTTATTGCAGGACAAGATCACAATCCTCCAGCAACGGCATGAAAGCAGAGAGATGACTTTGCAAACGTTAATTCGCAATTTACTGAGGAATCGAACGCAGTGCAAAGACTGTAAAAACGAAAAGGGTAAAAATCGACAGCTCTGCTTCTTTCGGCAGGAGATCGATCATATCTTAGGAATGTTACAAGAGATCACTAACGTCCATTGATCTCACTGAATCAAGAAATCGTCTCTAAATAGTCACAACGCATTTGATGGTTATCGGTTTATCATCGAATATTGTGATAATTTTTACAAGAATAAGATTCGCGATATAGTTTAAATAATTCGAAAGAGGCATTAAATACTTTAGGTATCGAAACATAGATACATAAACGCGTTCATTCGCGACACTCAGCCAAAACATTTAGTCGATACTCCTATCGACTCTTCCATAACTGATGAGAACTATGCGCAATCTTCTTTCTTGCGTCCGTGATACCGTTCTTTCTGCGAAGTCGTTCATCAGTACAGAATTCGCAAAGGATTCGGTAGGCTCGGATCACTGCCAAAGAGAAAAACGCTACTGCGTAACATTACCATTAATATCTATAATAACGAACATATGATTGAATTACAAACTTTTCCAATCTCTTTCCGTCGCCAATTTTCTTGCCACTTGCGCGCAATGTCTCGGAACACTGCCCGCTGTTAGTATAATCTATTTTATTGAATCAAAATCATTTTTAGACTAAGTCATATATATTTTTAGGAATAGATTTTTTTATTTATTTATTTTTATTTATTGACTATTATATTATATAAAAAAAGGCATGGCTGCTTGCAACGTTTCTCCAAATTGATGTTGCTAGTGTTGCTACAGTTTTTGTTTTCTTATAATAAATTGTATAGCACATGACAATTGGACGGAGGAAAAAGAAAAAATAGATATATGAAAATATCTTCGTAAGAATTTCTTCCAAAGTTAAATAATATCTAGTTTTTTACGGATAATTTTTTCGAAACTTTGCTGTATATATAGGCGTTAAGAGATAAATCGCTATATTTATTTCGAATAATACTCTACGTTGGTTTATTCGCGATCAACGAAGTCGAATCGTCCGACTATATCATGTATATCGTATCGTAAGTACTCTTAGTTTATTACTGTTGCCAAGCCTAGTTGATAATTCATGAAATTTAGCCTTGTTTGTATGCGTAATAGACGCAAGCACACCGCACAAATCGATGTGATCGAGATCTAAGGATGAGTAATCAGCAACAAAGAATATGCCTATCTTTCATATTTTCAACACAAAATCTGCAGACTCTTGGAGACAATTATCTTCCTGAGACTCGGTTACATCGAAGTATACACAATCACACTCTTTTTCTAAATAGATTTAAGCTTATCACATGTAATGTACAAAATTCAAAATTATAACTTTAATAAATTTAATCTTTTCGCCGAAGGTTCGATATTTTCCTTGGCGATAATATAACGCAAGTTAAAAAATCACTTTAATTAATATTTTCCTGTACTTGTTGAGTAAATTAAAATCTGAAAACCTTATATATGTGTATATACACATATATATACATATATACATGTAATTTTTTTAAATAGTAAAAAATATTGAAAGGTTTTTCGAAAAATTATTTCAAGGTATTTAACTACGACTGCAACTATTTTATTTTCGCACAAAATATATCTTCTTAGATATACACATTTCTACAGGACATATATGAGCTGTACATTAATCTACATTAATCTACATTCTGATTATTTTTGGATACATTACACATATTGCAACGTAATATCTTAATTCATAAAATAATAAGATCGATAGAAGCAGAGGTCCAGAGGATAGCGATTTTCAGTGCCGTTGTTCACAATAGCCGATTACATTTTATGATTTTACTTTACCAAATTATGAAGCGCTGGGCATGTTGGATTATGTTGCTGCTGTAAAAATATTACAACATATGTTAAGAATCCTATTTTATTCATGTCACTTTTAAAATTATTTTTTTTTATTATTGATAATCTTTTTTGAGAATATAATTTTTTATAGCCTATGCCAAATTATAAGAAAATTATAACATTTATAGTTTGCGCTCTAAAGAATTCCAGTAATTTTAATAGCTTACCCAAGGGAAGATTTTTTTCCATTATAGAGGGAAAATCCATAAACAGTACATAATGCCACAATGAGAGCTTGCCTCATAAGATCGTAAGCCATAGGATACTTGAAAAATTCGTAGCCCTTTATTAAGTTAGGAACAATTTTTGCTCTGACTCTCACATTTCTTTCAATGTGTGCGTCCTCCAAGTTTCGTTCCCATTTTGCAAATAATCGTTCATTATCCACGGTTCTAGTAAGTGTTCTCTCAGCAGACAATCTTCGTTGTTCGCGATTTTGTTCAGGTACACGGGTGACTCGGCGAAGAGAAGAGAGTCGCGATGAGTCCTCGATGTTCCTCGCTGATCTCTGACGCAAGTGTCTGATGGACTCTCTTTCACGAAACTCAACGGGTCGATTCTCGACTGATTGAACCATTCGGCGCTCTGCGAAACGTCTGATTTCGCGTCGCGTTTCTGATGAACGTAGTGCCCGGTTCTCGAGAGATGCTGTTTTAGAACTTGCTTTGCGCTCCATTGGAAGCATCGAATTTCGCAATTCGGAGTTCCGTTCCACGCGCCGATCCTGCATCTTTGATTTTTCACTTGACCTTGAGTTGTCGTCGATCCTTCGTTCTGAAGACCTTCGAGAATCGAGAGTAGATCGCTTTTCCAGGATTCTTCCTCGAGAAACTCGCGATTCCAGGCTTCGTTCCGACCGTCGGTCTGCTAGCCTGGATCCTTCGCGTAATTTCAAATTGTCGATCCTTCGTTCTAAAGATCTTCGAGAATCGAAAGTAGATCGCCGTTCTAGGATTCTTCCGCGAGAAACTCGTGCTTCTGGACTCTGTTCTGAACGTCGATCTGCTAGTCTAAATTCTTCGCGCGATATAGAATTGTCGTCGATTCTTCGTTCCGGAGATTTTCGAGAATTAAGAATTGATCGCTTTTCTAGGATTCTTCCGCGAGAAACTCGTGTTTCTAGGCTTCGTTCCAAACGATCTGCTAATCTAGATCCTTCACGCGATTTCAAACTGTCGTCGATTCTTCGTTCCGACGATCCTCGCGAATCGAGACGTGCTGAATCCAAAGTGATTCGTCGCTCCAAAACTCGCCTTTCCGGAACTCTTCTTTCGGACACACGTCGTTCAGCCTCGCGTGATCTCTGAGGAACGATCCTTTGTTCTTCGCGTGATCGGTACAAACGATTCGTCCTTTCTCGCCGTTCCTGAGTTGAATCACGTCGTTCTGTTGTCGCAGCATCGCGCGATCTATGATTGTAATCTCTGGAGTCTCTGATCCTCGCGATTTCCCGACGATCTACCGAATTACGATCGACTAAACGGGAGGATCGTGCGAATCTTTCTCTTTGTTCCCGATTCGCGATTTCTTTGACGTCATAATGTGACCGTGCCATTCTATAATTCTCCCTGATAGCCATGTTTTCGCGCGAGTCACGTCGGCTTGCGGTCCTTTGTGAGCGATTGATCCTTTCTCGGCGCAAGTTTTCTTCGGATGAGACTCGCGACATTCGATCGACAGATTTTCGATCGCCAAAACGATTCTCTACTTTCTGGTGACCCACTATTTCGCGACGTTCCATAGATCGGTCCAATGATCTACGTCCGAAGGACGATCTGCGTTCCTCGGATCTCTCGGTGTTGGATTCAACCGATTTAACTCGTCTGCTAAGAGTTTCGCGATTGAGATTGTTGACACCTGAACGTTCCATCGATCGAGACAATGTTCGACGATCGTCAGATTTAATAAGATCTCCACGAGAATTCCTGGTAGCAACCGATAATCGCGACCTACTTTCTGGATTAGCAACGCGATCGAGTAGAACTCGGCGATTTTCCAGAGATCGTTCGCGATTTCGGCGATCCATATTATTGTTGCGATCGATATCTCCTCGTGCGAATCTTGCTGATTTCAGGAGATTTTTGTTATCCTCCCGACGATCCGATCGTTCCACGTCTCGATGTTCGATTGACACGCGACGCTCGACAGATCTACGTTCGCGTATCTCGGATCGGTAATTCGGAACACGATTTCGCGTTAGATCTCGATGTTCGCGACGATCAGAGACTAGGACTTCGCGAGATTCTTGCCGATTGATTCGTCGCTCTGGGAGTGATTGACGGTCGCGATAATCGGTCGTACGACGTTGAAGATTCAAAGTGTCTCGCCGATCCGCTGATCGATCGCGATTTTGTTGTCGCGCGATTTCGTTAAACTCCCGCCGTTCCATGGATCGCGATCGGCGATTTTCAAGCCGGGAATTTGCAGAATCGGCCAAACGTCGTTCGAAATTTTGCTCGGTAGAACGGCGACCAGTTGCTCGATTAGACAAATCCCGCGATCGAGAGACTCGAGTGGCGAGATCGAGCGAGTTCCTCGCGTCGCGGGATTGCGCGATCGTCCTAAATCGAGATTCTCGAACACGGTTAATGGATTCGTCGTTGGATATGCGACTCGTCGATCTTGAAAGTCTCTCGACTGTCCTCAGATCTCGGTTTCTAGACAATCGGTCTCTGGTTTCCTGCAAACCGCTCCTAGACAAGCGATCCAGACTCAGTGATCGAGGAAGTACGGACTTTCGAGACATAGGTGCTCTAAATTCAGATACTTTCATTTGATGATTATTAATCGCCGGTTTCATAACTGTTTCCTGTTCGGCAATCGGGCTTTTGACGAAAGGATTCAAGTTCGGACAGGCGTCCACTCTAAAAATAATTCTCGTCTATAATCTTTGCAACAAGCAATTTTTAATAAAGTGTATAAAATTCTTTGAAAAATTAAAAATATCGTAATAAAAAAACATTTATGAATTTAAAAAACATAATGCGTAATTCAAGAAGCATTTACGATTTTAAGCAAGGAAAATAATTAATTTCATACTCGTGGGGAGCTCGATGCGTGAGTTCAGGACCTGCGAGACTACCAGCATGTCCTTCTCTATCCCTGGATACCAATCCTAACGTTAGACACGCCAACGATACTATCAGAAGTCCGATGTACTGCCAGGATCGCACAGGTAGCACTACGTGGCGAGTACGCCGCATCTTGCTGCAAAATATCGTAATATTCGTACTCTTTAAATCTGAATCAATGAATAGTCACTAATTACAGTGGCATACTTGGCACTGATAATCAGTGAAGTTCAACTAAAAAAGGAAGAATGTTTGAGCATTATATAACTAAAATACTGATATTTACACGTTAATTTCAATTTTCCAATACCATATTCATTAAATTTAAGCACTAAAACAAGGTTAGTTAGATCACATAATAAAGATTAGCTAATTTAGGGATCTCACATTTAATTCATCACTGATTACCAGTGGCATATTTGGCACTGACATCAGTGATTATCCACTAATTCAGATTTAGAGAGTACCGTTCTTAATTAATTAGAGAGCAATTTTACCCCCATTCTTCATATCAAGTTAATCGAATCGAGTCTGAAATAATTAAAAACCAAAAACGAATGACACAATATTAGCTTCGGAAAGAAAATCAAAACTATTTTCTTACGTATAATATACTTGGCAATATCTTTTTCTTATTTTTCTGTTT